TATTAGAGCATAAGCTTTCGTGGACTATAGCCCACTTCTTCGGATGCATATGCATATGGGCTATAGTCCACGAAAGCTTATGCTCTAATAAATTTGTTAGTCTCTAAGGTGCCACAAGTCCTCCTGTTCTTCTTTTTGCATTTATATGATTGTTACTACCACTGTTATACAATTGCAACAAATCTTATACAAAGTATGGCATGTAAGGTATCAATGAAAAGTTGTAATCTACTAAGTATGATAGTTCTGTTTATATCTTTATATCTGAAGTTATGAATATTGGCTATGTATCTGTATCTCAAAAACATGTTGTATGCCTGGCTGACACCTCCCCCGCCCCCCAGATAGATTTACATCAGGGCTAGACAGCTATGTTTTGATGGCCCATTAAGGACACTCAGCTCACAATGGGCCTGTGACACATGGCCAGAAAGGGTTAAACATGCTGCAAAATAAATAACCCTCAAAAGACATGTGGGGAGATAATATTTCTGTTTTTGTGTATTTACATATGTATGAGTAGGGTCGACAATGTAACCAACAGTCCCTGTCTATGCAGTATTCTGATAGTTCAGAGATCAAAAAAACATCCTAGCATTTAAATTAATTGTAAACACAGGCTATCTCAGTATTCATCTCTCTTTGAAATGTACTGTGAATGGTGGAGGAACAAGCAAATGGACTTATGTTAATTTGTATACCTAAATACCAGCGATGGACCTCCTTCAAAGTCATCCTAATTACCTTTTGTTCCCTGAGGAACTCCAATTTATCAAAGAGAATATAAAATTGTATAAAAGATCCTTGGGTCCTGATTCTGTCATCTCAGATCTGCTTAGGCTTCATCAGGGGAAGTTTGAGTCACAAGACTGAGGTCCCAGTTATGCTGGTACGCCCTGAATATGATATTGGACATTGAACTATAACCTATGAACTATTACTAAAAGAACTCTTTGCAACTACAAGCTCACCATCTCTGCTATGAATCTGCACCTAAATGAATTGAACTCATGTCTGTATGTATATTGATCTTTTAACCATACTCTCTCTCTTTTGTTTTTTTAATAAATTTTAGTTTAGTTAATAAGAATTGGCTGTAGTGTGTATTTCGGTAAGATCTGCAATATTCAATAACCTGGGAGGTAATGTGTCCGACCCTTTGGGATTGGTAGAACCTTTTCTTTTATATGACGAAATAAGATTTACAGAAATTTTCATCATATTTGACATGAATGGAAGCCTGAGGCTGGATCACTTTAAGGGAACTGTGTTGTTTGGACTTCTAAGTAATCAGTGAGGTAATAAAGAAGCTGTTTTATGTTGCCTTGGTACATCTGGCTGCGAAGATGGTGTCTGGCTGCGAAGATGGTGTCGCCAGGAGGGCTTTGGCTTCCTAGACCACGGGATGCTATTTGAGGAAGGACTGCTAGGCAGAGATGGCGTTCACCTTTCGAGGAGAGGAAAGACCCTATTCGGACACAGACTGGCTAACCTAGTGAGGAGGGCTTTAAACTAGGTTTGACGGGGACAGGTGAGCACAGCCCACAGGTAAGTGGGGAACATGGAGACTGGGGAGATGGGTCGGAAACAAGAGGGAGTGTGGGCTATATTGGCAGAGAGAAAGGAGAGTCAGGACAAAAC